TATATTATTAAACCAAATATAAATTATTTTGTTTTTATACCTAAATTAAATTATAATAAAAAACTGAATTAAAAAATTACACAAAAAATGTGGAATTTTAAATAGTTAATTTGATACGAATATCGATATATTTTTATTATGCATAAAGTACAACTTATCAAAGCTCGATTGAGATAAAAAATAAAATGAAATATTAAAATCACGACGTATCTCGCTGGATTGCACAAGTATGCTTCTAGTATATATATATATATATATATATATATTATTTAATAAATTTAAGAGTAGATTATGTTTTTCGTCACCGTGGTTTGTTAAAAATTGCGATTTACATTCTTATGGTTTAGAAATTGCGATTTTCATCTATATGGTTTGTAATTTATTTTTATTTTCACTCCTAAACTAATTCTTACCTTTTTAAGTTAAAGGGACCAAATTACTAAGGAATTGTAAACCACATGGACTAGAACAATAACAAATTATAAATCATAAGAACGAAAAAAACAATGATTTATAAATTATTGAGATGAAAACCGTAATATCTAAACCACAAGGACTAAAATCGCAACTTTTAGCAAACCACATGGACGAAAAACATTTTTTATAATATTTAAAATAAGTATAATTTAGTTTTTCTTTTAAAATATTTATTTTTATTGTATTAGTTTATTAATTTTTTTTTTTACAATTTTCATCAAAAAATCTGATCTCAAAGATAGAAAGCAGATTCCTTTTTAAATGAATTATGAATCACATATGATTTTAACGAAAATTGTAATTCTTAAAAAAATTTGTTTCAAATAGAAAATGAATTCTTTAGATGAAAACTAAATATGTTTATTTTAAATGCATTAAATATAAGATATTTTTGAAATAAAAAATTAAATTATATTAAAATCAGAATATGATAAAAGTAGAATCTTAAATGCATACCTTAAATAACTTTTATATGATTAAATTATTGTTTACACCGTTATTTATTTATTTTTAGATTTAATTATTTAATAAATTTATAGACCTAAAATTATTCTCTTATTCTTTTAAATATGTATCATTCTCGTTTAATCCCCATTAAAAGTAATAGTTTAGAAAAACCCAAAGGAACTCCCATTTCCATTGATAAGTTTTTGAATTTTTTTAAAATAAAAAATCAGTAAACTTTCTCATTTTGAATAATTAAGTCATAAAACGTTGTTTTTAAATATATAAATTATCGAAATTTTAAAAATTGGTTATATATAATATTTTAATCTAAAAAAACTACTTATAATGTAGTTTTTCATTGGGTACGAGAGATTCATATATAATGTAGGGTTTGGAAACCGTAAAACTGATTTAAGTATTTATTTTTATTTTAGTGTAAATTAAGTTTTTCGTTTCTTGTGGTTTGTTGAAAATTTCTATTTCATCCTCGTCGTTTTCAAATTAAGTTGTATTTATGTATAATTTACTTTTATTCTTGAATTTTAAGTAATATGCATCAATAATTAATACTTTATATATAAAAATAATTTTTAAAATTTTTTGTCAAATGATTTATAATATAGTATAGATTAAAAAGAATAAAAGGGATCATGATATTTAAAAGTGATGTAACGGGGTTGACATTCTAGTTTGAGGTTCGAACCACGTGAAACGGGGTTGCCAACGTGGCTCCATTTGGCGCCACTTTTTATGACGAGCCAGCTCGGTAGACTGTTGACGTGTCGCTTTAATTTCCAACGGAAACCACCGTTAACAATCATCATCGTCCTCGTCCTTCTCAGCAAAATTACCACTAATTGTCATATCTTTTGAGCTATTCTAGGTTGATTTTGGTCTCTAGTTCGATCAATTTTGAGTACATTTAGGGTTTCTCTCTCTCTCATATGGATTCTACAGATGCCAATGACGGTATCGATGGGGGAATTGTAGGTACCAAAGAGCTAGATCATGCTCTAATGGTAGAAATGGCGTCAGTTGCCGGTTCGGATTTAGGTTTTAATACGGTTTCAATTGCGGAGGATCAGATAACGCCTCTTTTGACGCAAGCCGACAATCCCAGACTCAATATTTTTTCTGTCTCATACCCTAAACGGAAAAGTGACAAGGTATTTTTAATATTTTATGCCTCAAAGATAATATACTAGTGGTTTAAGTCGGATTATTTGGTTATTAATCAGTGTCGACTCTGTTTCTTATATGATTAGAGCTTTCTCTCGATGATTTTATTGTTTTATTGAGGACTTCATTGACTAGAAGAACGTATGGACGTTGCAGGACCAAGTTACGAGATCAATTGAAACAGAGACATCACCTTTTACGCTGTTTATAATGTGGGCATGGTCTGGATCTAGATATTCTGGTTTGGTATGCATGGCCTTAGCGTCTTCGGTATACTGTATCATGGGAATTCTTTCGGATGTGTTCTCTGGTTAGTGGGTTCTTTTTATGTAGTGGAACAGTGGCCTTTATTAACTTACTAGAATGGAGAAATGTATGTTTGATTTGGTTCTCTTCTGGCCACCATGTCAATTTGACACTATGCTAAGCTTAACATGTGTCTTTGCTATGTTTTTGGCGTTGCTGATACAACTTATAAAATCCGAATTCTTGATATTTTGATTGTTAATTTTCCAAAATATGCCGTACTTAAAGGAAAAGAGTTGACATCCTTCTAGGTAGATTAATCTGTTGCTGCTATATGACCTTCAATAGTCTTCACACTGAAAAATGATTCAAAGTGTGTCAGCAGACATGATTAAATGAGATTTTTAGACGGGTGGCTGTGATGTTTCAACTCATATATGTAAAATCAACTACTCAATGACATGAAAACACCTTTTCAGGAGTATATTGAATTATCCCTTCTCTCGAAGTGCTTTCTGTCTATTGGCTCGAGCTTGCTCTATCTGCCTCTACATAGACACAAGTTAACAAATCTTTCTCATGTATCAGTGATGCATCATCATATAGTGATTAGTGAAGTCGAAACAAATGAGGGAAGGAGTACATATGAAGTCAACTAGTTCAGAGGAAGGGGTACAGCATATGATTAATGCTTTACAACATATCAGAACATGCAAAGGTGGTGAATAACAATTTCAGGGGATGCTAGGTAGGTATACAGAGCACATATGCAAGTAAGGGAATGCAGAGTAGGGATGTCACTGTACTTTGAATTACTGCTTTCTGTTACATATAGTTGATAGTCGTTAATAGCAGTTACTTCAACATCTTCCTATCTCTTGTTTCTATCTCTTCTATTAGTCCCAATTCAAAAAGAATCTCTCAATCAGTTGCTGAACACCAGTTTGCAGGTAATGTTGTTATATTTCTGTTGTTCACCATCATTCACACACAATAACGCATGAACTGACACCAGCCTTGTGCGTCAGATCGCAATGGACTCTGCAGCACTATACACACAGCAACTGATTTATTTATAGGATAGATGCATTAGCCCTACTCTAGTACTTTATTGGTGGAGACATTGGGCATAGTGTATGGTAAATGACTTAGGAACTTGTAGTTCGACTATCAAAAGCCTGAACAATCAATACAGTTGTAAATGTGTAATGCACAGACAAAAAAATGTCAATTAGAGTGCCATCTCTGCACTTCACAGTTACCGTAATGTAACGATATAGAACTGCCATTCAAATTATTCAACTATGGTAGCATGGTACGGGCTGTTATGTGAAGAGCAAAGTGTACAATGCAGCGTGCATGTAGCTCTGTTTTTGTCTCCAACAGCCAGATATTAGATGCAATGAAAATCATGCCAATCATTCTCTCTCGTACTTCACATACACCTCCTTTTATGAGTTCAAAAGTAATCAATCTCTTGATTAAATCTTCTCTCAACTCCATGTGGCAAAATTCTTTGTCCCATTACCTTTATTATCCACTCCTTTGTAGTTCATTTCTAAATCTTGTAGTGATTAATCTGTTATGCCAAAAGGAATTTCAAGTGAGGCAAAAGGAATATCTGATGAGGCACATGGCAAAACTACCTCTAATATTTCATTGGACCAGGTAGCAGCAGATCCCATCACAGAGGACACAAAGAAAAGTACCAGACAGAGGATCCCTAATAGAAAATACATGGAGGAATGGGCTATATAGAGGAGGATCTTGTTATGAATTAGCATGTGATGATTGAGGCCTCTCTCTCTCCTCTCCTCTCTGGAATTCTCTTCTTCCTTGAGGCTCCTTCAATTTATCTTTCTGCAATTACCTTACAGTCATCTTACTCTGTGTCTTTCAATTTCCCTAAAAGTGTACTGATTACTCTCGTGTAATTCAGCAAGCTTCATCAATAAGCAAATATTCCCTTTGAGTTCTAAATTGTGGTACTAAATTCTATAAGCATTACATAATCACTGCTAAGAAAGAATATTTATCTTAAATCTTGCTGCTACACTATTCTTTGTTTGCCCTAATTCTCTTCGAAGATCAATGCCAATTCTATAATACATCTCATCATCCTCCATGTACATGCAAATTAACGGCGATAGAAAGAATACAATTTTCTTCAAAATCATGTACTTCCTTTCATCTATTTATATGGGCTGGTTGAAGGATTCAGTTTCATATGCATTTTCTGATTTGCTACCACATTCCCAAGAAGAAGACAACATATAAATCCCCCCTGCTATTCCTGTTTATCTGGATAAACAAAAAAGGGCTATGCTGCTATTCCATGATGACATCATATTGAAAACCAGAGTTACCATTGTAAGAGGTTTTATATCATTGATTATTTTTGTAACAAGGTGGTTACTCATACAGGAAGAGATGCAAAACATCCTCAATCTTTCCACTTGCTCATGTCTTAGAAACCAACTCTGCCATATAAACGTGTAACCTATTCATGATCTCTGTTAATTGTGCAGATTTCTGACCTTCTATGCCTAAATGACTTTTTAGTTTTTAGCAATATTATCTATGCCTAGTGTAGCTTCCTCTTGATCTGTTTTTGTTTTATTTTGAAATGGCAGCTCAAGCAATTCCTCTTTTTGAGATAGCACTTGCAAGATGTATAATTGTGTCGGCATTATCATTCATCTGGTTAAGAAGAAGTGCACAACCAATATTTGGACCTTCAAATGTCAGGAGTCTTTTTGTCTCCAGAGCTGTTACTGGCTGTGTTTCTCTGTTGACTTTCATTTACTGGTAAGTCTTACATCTATGCAAGCTGTAATATGCAACAATGATACCCCCCCTCTCTACAAACATGACTCAACAATATGCATGTACTTTCACCTAAAGGTGGGATTTTCTTCTAAAACTTTTGGTCAATCAAGACAATTTTATTTTTATGAAATAGACTTTAGCAGGAAATCTGGTTGTCCTTCTAAGATAGATTGACATGCTTCTCATGTGTACTTGTACTTCCTAAGGAAACTTTGTATGTTTGAGTTGCTCCTATCATGAATTGATCTACAAGTACACGCACACGTGATAGTCATCACATTTTGTCGAGTTATTTTCGTCCATTACTCTTATGTGTGTCTTCTATCATATTTTTATTTATTTATATCATTCATGTCCACAACTGAGTTATACCTGCACTATGGGGGATTTCAACATCAGCATGTGCAACAATGATGTGTTTGTGTATCTGGAATTTTTTATATTTTTAAGCCTTCATCGTTTAAGTTTGGCCATGCATGCTTCCTTGTATAGTTAACTTGATATATACGTGTAGGATTTTGAACAGGGTTAGCTCCACGCAGCTGCTTCACATATGGTTTATCTTTTTAATGGTATCGGTATGAGTGTATGACAAATTACGTATTGGCAAGCAGATATATTCTTTGAGCATATTAAGTATCTAAAGCTGTCGAGTTTCATTGCTTAAAATCTGATTATAATAAATATCATACAATTTTTTATGAGGGTGCGCTTGCATCATGCAACTTTCCTCCATGTGTGAGTATTCATATCGTTCTTATCAATGATAAGCATGATTCACTTGTATTTGGTTGTCCACCATGTAAAGATTAGTTGTGAAACTGAATGTTGGAACAAGCTGCATAAGTTACAAATAGTAACATGCTATTGAATGAGATAAGGTTTATCTAATAAATATATGATATTGAATAAATATTCCAGCTAATCATACGAGCTATAGAGAATCGACTAATTTCATGTAACATCTATGTTTATGGTGCAAAGGATGTTTCATCTCCTTTGTTTTTAAAGTATATATTATATACACCAAATGCAACAAATAAACTCACACACCCTACTCACCTTTGGTGAGGTTTGAACCGCTGACTTCCTAGGAGGCCAAAGGCCTTTGGATATTTCATCTCTTGTAATGCCTTTAAATTGAACTATCCTTGATAAGCATTTATTATCTGGCCTTGTATTTTTCTAGCTAAGGTTCCCTTATTTTATGTTCATATTGTTATCGCCTAGGTTGTTGGAAGACAATTTTAGCTTTTTTCCTGATGTTCAAAATATTTTGGATATCTAAATCACATTTCTCTTTGCAGTATTCAAAAGTTACCATTGTCTCAAGCCATGCTTTTGAGCTTTACAACTCCAATAATGGCCTCAGTTTCAGCAAGATTCATTCTGCATGAGAATTTGAAAATTGCAGAAATAGCAGGTACTACATTGACATCCAGAACAACTAATCATGTGTAATCATTTTTTCCATAGGCAAAATGAAATTTTATTCTTGGTATCATCCCAAAACATACATGGACTAATCAATTATATAACTGACACAACTTGAACTCATTCAATATTAAATTCTTGGTGTTAGTTGATTACGGAAAATTGGACCATTGATATGTCATACACCTTATACACTAGAAGTTGACACTAGCATACAAAGTACAAGATAACCAGTTAACCCAACACCAATTTGTTGGTGATTTTAGTGAAATCATCGGTTCATTTTATGTAGTTGGATTCACAAAGAGAATATGGGGTGTTAGTTAAGCTATAACACGGGCTAGGAGGTGTGGAGTGGGCACTCGTTTAAGCTAACTAGAACCCGGGATCGTTCAATGGTCTTGTATAGGGAGGGTCTAAGCAGCAGATGGCAGTGCACGGGCCATGCTCTTTTACACTTGAAAAGAGGACGGCCGTGCTGCAAACAGAAAGCTGAGCACGGGCCATGCTTTTTTTGTCTTCAGAATGGCACGGGTCGTGTGTTTTTGATCTTTAGAATGGCACGGGCCATTCGTCAGAAAGTTATCAGCTCTTCTGTTCAACTCTATATAGTTAATGGTACACTAACTAGCTGATGGTTCTTCAACTATAAGATGGGTCTATTAGATGAAGGTTCAGGTAGAGGATGTCAATTGTGTTCAACTAGCTGATGGTTCACTAATATTCAGCTTCGCTGATGGTTTACTAGTGTTCAGCTAGTTGATGGTTAACACGTGTTCAGATAGCTGAAGGTTCACGAGTGTTCAGCGAAGTTGATGCTTCACTAGTGTTTCATCTCGCTGAAGGATTGCCATATGTGTTTAACTATATCGAGCTGATGATAGGCCACTAATAGGTACTTGCCTTATCTATAACCACTCACTTTTAATTTCTAGCAATCATTCCCATTTAAAGAGGGGAGTTATTCTCGGCATTAATATAGGAGCGGTTACAATTATCTAAGTTTAAAAGGAAACGGTTTCTGCCATAATCGTGACTGAAAATTTGAGATTATTCTCGAGTGAATTTCGTGATACCTGGGCAGATTAGGGTCGAAATATCATTTAAGGAAAGTGAGCTCTCACGCGATCTCAAGTTTTATCCAAGTTCATATAATCACTCATCGTTTTCTTCACGAGTTTTCTGGAATCCCCCAACACAATCTGGGTATTATAAAACACCTAGGAGAAACTACTTTCTCTAAGCAAAACATGAAAAAGACTCCTACAATCAGAACTATATAATATCTATTACTGAGGGGATTTTTACCATATAACCAAAGGAGAGTACAATGTGGGGTTGGCCTAGAATAAGATATGCCAGTAAAGAATAAAAGAAACCATATGCATGATAGTACAAAAATCATAGTGTATAATAATGATGCTCCTCAAAGAGGAGCATCTTTATCTATCATGCTCAACTTGTCAACAGACGATGCACATCCAGTGTTCTCTATGGCTCCGTCGAGATGTTTGCTACTTGGTAGCTGCTATACGATTTACATGTGGATAGGCAAGATGATTGGAGGTTTATTATGGCACCAACAACATGATTGCTTACAGTGTTGGACCAACCTCTATGTGCTTCTTCCTTTCACAGAAGACCTGGTTCCTGGTTATATGGAGGAGATTGGTTATCATATTGTAGCCTTAATATTTTATTAGTAAAAGTGCCCAACTAATGCAGAAGTCGATTAATCCATATCACCTCACAAGTAACAACCATGCATGATGTTCGGATCATGCACTGAAGGAGGGAAAGTAGGTTCTTTTCTTTTCACGTGATGGGGTGGTATAGACCAGGTACTTTTGGATGATCATAGGTAAAAGGATGTCTAAACTTTTCATATGTATGTGTTAAGGTATGCCAGGAGGTTCAAACAAGTATCACGCTGAGCATATGTTGGATTGATCAGTGGACCTAAAAGTTGCAGGTTAATTCTCAGGTTGGTATCTGATAAATTATGGGTATGTAGAACACAGCAGTCACCTGTCTAACGATCAGGAACTGAACTCTATGGATGTGATGAAGACACTTGAATCATGAGATATGGCAGTATAGGTAAAGTAGTTTTTCTTGTGATATATATGGATCATTTTGCACATAACTAGAAGGGTAAGATTGGAAGGTACACCAGGTGGTTCAGATTAGTATCAGGCTGAGTGTTTAGTGGATAGGTTGGTGCACCCCTAAGGTATAGGCTCATTATGGGGTTGAGTGTTTGAGAAGTTTTAGGTATCTGTAATAGAAAGCTACCCGTGTTATGATCCAAAATAGAACCTCTAAGGACATTAATCAAAGTAGTTGATTACTTATAGTGCCATAGGATGGATATAAGTGGATTGTTTGGACTATGTGTGCTTTTTAGCTAAAGTTTGCTGGCTCAGCTGGCTCTTTCGTTTGTATTTCTTTTTACCTTCGATTTCAATTTGGTTGTTTATTTCTTGCATGATATTGCAGTTTATTGTCTGTCTGATGGTTTTAGAAACAATTGATGAGTTCCATTTCTGACTGCAATGAAGCAGGACACTGTTGCTGAAATGATTACTTAGAGCACTTGTATGCATGCCTATGTGTTATATATTACTTTAAGCTTCATGAAGCTTTCTGTTGGTACTTTTCACCCTCCCAGGTCAAACCAATGATCTGAAACACTTGTCTAACCTTTTGTATCTCTTCAATATCTGCTTGTTATTCATTGACATATTATCATAGTTATGTTCATAATTCACATCTGCTTTTCAGGTATTGCTTTGAGTTTCTTTGGTGTAATCTTTATCCTCCGATCACAAGGTACGGAAGTGAGTTAATAAATCCTTTTGGATAAGTAATGACCTTTTGTATCTTAAGCAGTTTACATTTCAGTCTACCTGATTCATAATTCAGTTTTCTTGCTGAGATCCTTTTCTTCCTCATTGTCGGTAGGTTTAACAGGTGTTCCTGGTGCAGTTTTCTCTTTCTAAAATTTTATATTGACAAAAAATATGCGTCATACTGATGATATTAAACACTAAAAGGCATGCATACCATTTTAGGCCAATAACTATTTGACTTGTAGTATACTTATCTAAATAATGGACACAAAGCATCAAATATTGGCCTTTGGTCAATTGTTTCGAGGTTATATGGCTTGTATCCATGGCAGTTGGAAAAAAAGAATGGGCTACCCATAGAAGTAGAAATTTGATAAAAAGAGAAGCAAGGCATTTGATGTTGCTCAGATGATGAAGAATTGCAATCTTTTAGGGAGTATTACTTTTGGCTATAAAGGACATCCATTTCCATAATTGAATTTTGGCTTGTGAAACCTTCTCATACATGCTTTGGAATAAGATGTGTGAACCATCTGTAGCACTTCAAAAATATACATGGGCCAAATATAACCCAAATTTGGTACACAATTGTTCTTTCCCCCTTTCCCCTCTTGCTGCAGTTGGAATTCATTCTTATTCACTTATTTGCTCTCATCAGATGCAGATTTTAGCTGGTCAACACAGTGCCAGCCTACTTCATTGATGATCCATCCATATCTTATATGTGACCTTGTGCAGGAAGGTCAGGAAATGCCAGGGAACAAAAGGATTTAGCCGTGCATGGAATACATCATGTTTATGTAGTTTTGATTGGTTTACTATCATCATTGGCTGGTGGACTGAGTTACTGTCTTATAAGGGCTGGAGCAAAGAAATCCGAGCAACCTGTGTAAGTACTGCCTTCTTCAGTCTACAGTTTGTCTGTCATTGTAATATTTGTTCACAGAAAGGATATTGCATCAAAATATCAGATAATTGTCTTTAATCACTAAAAGGGCAGCTCCAATGCTATGAGCCCACACCCTAGGACTGAGAGGTTGGCGGTTCGTTTACAAGGTGGTAATACAAGAGCCTATATAAATCCATTAGTTATGAACAAAAAAAAGATGGAAGAACTAAGAAAATTGTACAAAGCATCATGCTCATAATTTAGCACATGAGTCGATCTTCTTCCTTAACTAGTTGGGATAAAAACTGGACATTTTTACTGTCTTCTCATGCATAGCATTATATCAATCATTGTGGTTCTGTAAACACTGAGGCTGCAGAATATCCTAGCCTCACCATCACTTATTACTTGGGACCATTTTCAATACCAAAATTTTCCTTTTCTCTTTCAGGGGCACTATATTTTCATTTGGCTTACTCTCTAGTCCTGCTGCAGCAATATGCATGATCACCTTTGAAGTAAGATAATTGACTTGATCAAATCAATTTTAGAATCTTGACATTACTGGGTTCGAAGTTGGTGATTTTTCTGATTATTCATTGATCATTGGTCCTAAGCTCTGTTGAACTCAACTATAAGAGTTAACTTTCACTTGAAATTGATAATTTATATCAAATATCTGATAGAAACATAACCTCTCTATACAGGATACTAGAGAATCAAGTCCATTATAATATTTGATTTTTCATTGCAGAGATTTGTGTTGCCTAGCTTCTACTCATTACTTCTTATGATTCTACTTGGTGTATTGGCCTTCGTCGCTGAGGTGTGCTTTCAATAACGCACCTTTCCTGATTCATATTATTGTGGCTTGGTACTAGTTAAATTTTTACTTTTATTTTACTGCAGTTGTTTCTCGCTCGTGGGCTTCAGCTTGAGAAAACTAACAAAGTTGCAAATATCCAATACCTTGAGGTATATTTTTATGTTTGTTACTTGTTTATGATAGAAGATTTACTATTTTGTCTTCCATACTTTATTCCTTGTCTAATTCATGTGAATTTCACAATCATATGGAACGTGTTAGGAAATTTATGAAGAATATCTCAGGAAACATAAAGAATCAATTCTTCAAAGCTTTCTATAGGAGCCTTATATTGTACCCAGACCTAAAATGCATCTATTTGCCTTTATTGAAAATGGCTTCCTGGACCTTCACCTCCCTTAATTAAAAATTAAACCTTACTCGGATTAACTGGGCAAGGGTTCATAGCGCTTACCATTCTTTGTGAAGAAAAAGGACGGAATCACGGAAAGATATCTCTCTCAAATGAAAATTACAACATTTTCTGTTTTCAGGCTTGCTTATTAATCTAAATTATATTCCTATTGCCATAGTCGATAATATTGATTTCAGTCACTTGATTCCCATACTTTGTTATGATCAAAGGGTATCTAAAACATTGGTTAGTCTTTAAAGTCTCTCTCAAACTATGTATCTGGTCAAAAACTGCATTTCTCAGGGGAAAAATGTCTTTATGACCATGACATCTTGTGTTTAGATTCCTCATAGTTGCCTGCTGCAATGGTATTCACTGATGGGTCCATTTAGAGCCGCTTATAAACGTGTTAAAACAAACAGAAACAACAAAAAATTGTGAACTAAACTTGCGCCTTGTGCATACAACTTGGACGAGGGTTTGGTCATTGTGCTAAGAGCACCTCCAAAGGGGGCGCCCGAAGACGTGAGATATACCCAATTATATTTGTTTTGACCTTCAACCGAGTTATAATGTCTTAGGCTTTTACTCTCTTGGCCAATATGATGATTCCCACTTCCAGCTTTTGATTTTTGAATAATGTTAGAAGAACGATTCTAATCAAGTAAACTTCATAGGTTACTTTGTCATTTTTAGACGTTTTTGTTGTTTTAATTTGTAAGACTTTTAATATAATCTATGGTATGAATAATGAACTTTTATTATCCGTTTGGTCGATCTATAGTCTTTGATGCATGTATAACAGGGCCTCTAAAAAGATTGTAACGGCCCCACCTCCAATAGGGCTTTTTAGAGAGCATTGTTGCAAAGCTTTTTGGCCATCTAGACACTTGAAAAGGCCATCGACTGTGGAGTTGCAATGAGCTTGTATTTTGCTTGTGGGTCCCACTTCATTGGAAAATTTTAGAAAAAGCTCGAATGAAAAAATTAAAAGCGTATTGTTGATGCGGGATGCATATTTTCTCATAATCTGTGTGGTTTTCTACAGGTGGCGTTATCGGAGTTATGGGGAGTGGCATCGTTACGAGTAACCCCTTTATTCGGTAGACTTGTTGGATGCTTGATGATTTTGGTTTCGGCTTGTTGCACCATGTATTTAGGGCCTGAGAAAGACATGGAGTGAAGTGTGTGTGTGTGTGTGTGTTTGGTCTCTTTATGTGTTTCAAAGGTCAAGTTCCATTTTTTACCCCATTGTTTGTTTGCATTAGAACTTGTAATTTTTTGAAAGAAGCCAAACACATCTTAATCAAAAAGTACCAAGGAAAAGGTTTCCCCCCTTGTACTATGCTCCAAATATGTATGCTCCAAACAATACCAGGAGGTCTCAGGTTCAAAATCAAGGAGGAATAAAAATCCTCTTGTGGCCATGGAGGTTCAAATGCGGTGACTCCGGACTATCTGCAAAGCAGGTGGTTGCCCTGGGATTAGTCGGCTCGCATAGCGGGTTGGATATCCAGGTTAATAAAAAAAATATGTACGCTATTGTCCCTTGACTTTCTCTTTCGACGATCTAAACTCGCGATCCAAGGGTTTTAACGATCCACGACTACCGTTAAATAAAATGCCCACTTGTTCACTGAACAAAAATTTGTTGTTCTATGTTTGGTGTGACGATTAGACAAGAAGATGGCAGGACTGAATGAGACAAAAATGCAGTTTTTTCGTTCCTATCAAAATAGGTGGAACAAATCAAGGAGACAGACAAAATTGGTAAATTACTGAAGTAATTATGCCAAATCAAAATATTCCATAATTATTTCACTCATTTACCTCATTTTGGTCAGACCAAAACTTGTGAAACCATTTTTATGTGAAACAACACCGTATAAATATTGCATTTTCATAAGTGCTGTTTCATATGTAAAACAACCACATGCAAATCAGTTTCGTAAGTTTGTAAATGAGTTAGGATTTATTTGTTAGCAACTTAAGGAGCTTAACGAGACTCTCAATTTATTCGGTTAATTATAAATTTTTTGTAGAGGTTTAATGACATAGAAAATGACTTATTCAATAAGCTTTATACAAAAAAACCTAGCTTTATTCAATTAAAAAATATGTTAATTCCATCTATAAAAAAACTCGCGCAAACACAAACCTTTTCCGATCTACACAGATAAATTAATCCACACATACAACTTTATTCATACATAACTTAATAAAAAAACCAATTTCCCATTGATCCCTTTTCAAATCACACAAACATACATCTAAAACTAAACTTGTTCACCCAAATATTATAATACATTTTCTTGTTACCGAGGGAGGGTGAAAGAAACAACCGTTATACACTTCGGGACAAAGGACACTCAGAAAGTTTCTCGTTTTGTGATAATGCCCTCGATAACGACCATTTATTATTGGGACTAGTTGGAGTTGACAGTAATTAACTTTTCATCCAGATCATGCACCCGACTCGTTAAACGAAAAGGGGTAGTTTGGACCAAAATTTGTGCAAATCATCCGCGGAAGCAAAACCAGTTCATATTTGAATATATAAAACCATAAAACAAGTGTCATAAAGTTTAGTTTTCTTTTTCCATTTATTGACAGCCAAAAACAACCCCTCTTTCCCTCTTTACATTCTTCTACAAAAGCTATCACATTCCCACAGAAACTGGAGGTGAAAAGGGGTTCATTTTGCTGCTGCATTAAATCATCCGTATCTGTTCAACAAAATCAACAAAACATAAGAACATAAAAACCAGTAACTTTCAATCCGATTGATTCTGTGACGATGAACGGGACGAAGATCCACCGTGTTCAGGCAACGAATCATCCGTGCACGGCTTCCCGTTGCTCATTGGTTCACTTCTCCATCCTCCTGCATTTTTCGATGATTTCGAAGGAGACGAGTCTGATGAATGGGGTGTGGGTGAAATCATCCCACCATATGGGAAGAACGATGGGTCGGGCATTGGTAGAGTCGGCATTCCCATGGTATAACTATACGAATATATCACCAAAGGGTGATCGTATTTACACGCTGGCCCGTATTTGCAGATTCCATATAGACCGTAATACGAACACGCAGGTTGCCCCTGCATTTTGAAAGTCATTGATTAAACTTTATAGGATGCCAAATATGTCTACTAACAAACTTTTTTTTGCAATAATTAAGTTTATAGGACCAAAAATTGTGTGCTTTGTAAAAATGTTATAATAAGTTGAAACGACATTTAGTGTCCTATAAAGTCGATTTTATTATAGTGTTAACTTACAGGTCTAAGAGGAAGGCCGAGTGGACTCAAGGAACTGGCTGCGGGTTGAGCCATCTTTTCCCTTGGGTGATGGTACTTGCAATCCGTTCCATACTTGCAGGCTCCGGTGTTCATGAAATAACGGCATTCCGGTTCACCCGGCCTCTCAGGCAGATGAGAATTCGGTGTTGATGGATAGAGTTGGTCAATTGAACCCGAACCATTGGTTGAGAGTAGTGGGTTCAGATTTGCCTGAAAATAGCAACACCAACAAAACCATTTGAGCTAATTGTTAGGTCATCTTTGACGATCATAAACTAACTTATTTTTGAACTCACCGCTGTTTGATTAGAGTCATAAACCGGCTTATAAACTAACGTTTTAGAAAACTACATTAAGGGCTTGTTTGTTAGTAGCTTAATGAGCTTAATGAGACTCACAGTTTATTCAGTCAGCTATAAATGATTGTTTGGCAATGGCTTAATGATATAAAAAGTGACTTATTCAGTAAGCTTCCTAGGAGGAACTTTATGCAGAAAACCAAGTTTTTTCTAAACCTAATTTAAAAACACACTCCTTCTATCTAAAAAAATATTCTCACAAACAAAAACCTTCCAAATCTATACATACATATTAATTCAATGGAAAAACAACCAAATAGCCCCTAAGTAGCGTTTCAAAGAACTCTAGTTATTTTTCTATTTTTTTCCAATTTATGCCCCTTATATTTTTCCAATTACTTTTTCAAACATGTCCTTTTACGTCATTTTACAGTATCCTCTAGCTTATTAACTAGGTTTTACAAAACATGACTAGTTTATCTGTTAATAGCTAGCTTATTAGCCAACAAGTAGTTTGCCAATGAGCTCTAAGATCAGCAAACTATAATAGATGCTTATAAAGATGGTAAAACAGTTACTTACAATATAAGGACTCCACCCTTGGTTGATACCAGCCGGAGGAATAACCATTGGCATGTAAGTTTGAGGACTTGGATACGACCATGCTGAACCGTTGATATGGGGTGGTGCACCCGATGGTCCATACGTCAAAGATCCTGAAACAGGTGTGTTTGAGCCATCTGGTGCTGGCTGTGGATGATGGAACTTGCAAGTAACTCCAAATTTACATGATCCAGTTCGTACATAATGAGGACACGACTTCTGTCCCTATTACAATAGTTGCAAAGATTCGGTTCCATTGAAATTCGACAAATAAAACTTCTGCAAATGCAACGAGATTTTGGAAAGAAAACGTTACCTGCCGCATAGGCAGCCCAACCATGTTCAACACGATAGGTTCAGCACCACGCCGATCACGGGGATGATTATATTTGCACGTTGATCCATATTTGCAAGCACCCGTCTTTAGAAAATACTGAACAAACGAAAATTGTTTCATAATACACTAACAATTTGGGATTATTTAGAACCCCATTAGATTAACTCTCCAAAAGCCCTTGAGGAGAGAAGGGAGCTCCAAACATATATCTATATCTATATATATATATAGAGAGAGAGGAGAAATGGTCCAATTCTAGCCGATGTGGGATTCTAACAATCCCCTCCAATAGAGGCTAGACAAGCAAAGATTGTCACAAAGTGTCAGAGTCCCAAGAGTAGTAGACCTTGACTCTGATACCATGTGTGACTATCTGGAACCCCATTAAAGTGATTACTCTCCAAAAGAGAAATGATCTAAGTCTAGTTAACGTGGGACTCTAACACCCCCCTTCTCCGACAGAGGTTAGACGGGCACACATTGTCCCATAATGTCGACTCATATAGAACTTGGCTCAAATACCATCTGAATTTAGCCCCATTAGATTACTCAAAGAGCCCTAAAGGAGAGAACGGATGTTCCAATTTCAAACATATATAAAGGAGAAATGGTCCAAGTCTAGTCGACACGAACTCTAACAAACAAGAAACAGAAGCATCATAAGCATATAGGCTATAGCATAATGCAATCACATTCAAGAAATCCAAAGAACAAGATCAAAAACTTATGAGAAATCCAACTCTTTCCATGAAATTTCTAATTAAAAGACAGCTATATGGAATCGAATCGAATCCAACAAGATGTTGCATATATCGAAATTACAGAAGCATAAACAGGTAGGAATTAGGATTAGGAAGAAACTTACAACACAATCTGGCTCTCCAATTCTTTCTGGGAGGTCACCTCCATGCTGATTCATCTACGAATTCGCAAAGGTAAGCGATAAAAGTAGCGTATGGGGTCGGATTTACATATCAAGATAGTTGGAAATTATTCTATTTTTGGTTTACCTGCCCATTGTAGGTTGGATGATTAAACCTGCAGTTATCACCATAGCCACAAACTCCAGTCCTCAAATAATATATGCAATTCGGTTCTCCGGGTCGAGCCGGATAGGCCGTAGAACCAATTTCATCTTCTTTCCCATTTGTCTGAATCCTCAACCGCCTTATAGCTTCTAAAAATCCCAAAGTTAAAATCATAGATAGAACACAAATTTCACATAATCTAATACAATAAAGTCTCTAAATCCCTAAATTCAGGATGATAACTCAAAAGGGCAAGTTTCATATGAAAAATTCCAGATGAAGGGCATGTAAACAGAGAATAATTTGGGGGAAATCAGAGTAAAACAGAGGAGTAACAGAGATATACATGAACGCAACAAAATCGAAGCAATCAAACCATGATCGCAGTACATAAAACATGATTTCCATCAAATTTAAGCTAATCGGTTGCGAAACGATGCAAGAGATTGAAGAAATCAAAACCGAAAGACAATGCATTTGTGTAATACCTTCAATGTTATTATTACCAGAAGGATTCAATGAAGAATTAGAAACCCCACTATTCCTCTGAACACGCCGATTATCCGGCATACCAATATCTATTTCTCAAAACACAAAACGTAATCCGAATAAATTGTTGGCAGGAGAGTGTTCTTCCTCAAAAACCAATCAAATCCCCCTCAAAAACAGAAGTTGGAGAAGTTTCAATCAAACCCCAGATCTCGATTATGATTATAATCGATAACAACAAACACTGAAACGACAAACGAAACAAAAGTTATCCGGTGTGATGATGAAGATGATGATGATCGATGATCAAGTGCAGATGGAAGACGAAATTGAGTTAAAAAGGCAAGAAAATCTGAACACCACGCTTAATTTATGGATGATCTATCAATGTAAATATTCTTTTTCAAACAAATTTCTCATTCTCTCTCCAGAAATCGAAAATTTTATTCCTAATTTTGAAAATTTGGATCTTCTCTCGATCTTGATCATGGAATTTAAGTGTAATTAAGTAAAGTTTGTTTTTCACGTAAATACTGAAATATTGTCGACTACTAATTGACAAAATTGTCCCTGGAATCTAGGAATGGGGTTCTGCGAATAAAAGGCTTTTTAGTAATTTGGAATTAATACCATAATTATAGACCCTTGTGGAAAATAAATTATGGCTATTTATTTATTTTTCAATATTTGTTTTGCCGTTTTATTAAAGAATTATCGTTTTTAAGAAAATCTTCACCGTTAAAAAGGCGGGAAGAATTTGGCGTGAAGAGACGTGAAAGGATCCTGACCGTTGAAGTTGTGGACCCACACGTGGCGCATTGGGTGGGTTAAATAAATGTGTATAAAAACAATTTGATTATTATTAAATAATATTGATTTATAATAAAATTAAAATAGAAAAATGTCGAAATAGGATGTTTTTAAATTTAATTTATTTATTTTTATTGATTTTCTGTGGGAAAAAATATATATTTTTATTTAATTTTTTTAATATAAAGTAAATTCATGGGACCCATAGGACCGACATTATTGGGTTGTTTTCTTTCGGGTGACGTTTCACGCGATACGTACTTGGGATCGGGTACTTCACCATCACTTTTACCGCCCATATAGTCACGTATAGAAATTGTCAAACACGAATTTGTTAACGTATAAGCATCGGGAAAAAAAATCTACATTTGAAAAAAAAAATAGTATTAAATTAAATATAAAATCTATATTTTTTTTAATTGGTTGATTTTCAGTTCATAAATAGTATTTTTGTAACCTTATAATAAAATCTACATTTGAAAAAAAAAAAGAATTCAAATTGTATTATTTTAATTTTAATTTTAAAAACTTTGTGGATTCTTCCATGTCGTCTACTCGTCTTACGGACCAATGACCATGAACCTTTTGTTGACCAACACAGTAATTAATGTAATTATAAAAAGAGTAAAATCCAAACTTTTAGGGGCTATTTGGTAATTGTTGAATGGTTTGATACATAATGATTAAGTAGTCAGAATGATTAAGAGACTCTCATTAGATAGTGTAAAATGAAATATAATTGTTACGTAATTGTTTACAATGGAATTAGTGCACTGAATGGTTAAGGGATGTCAAGTATACAAAATCATTCAGAGGGTTTTAGAACCATTAAGAAATAGATTTTTTTTTGTCAAACAAGATTCACCTATTAATGATTCAAATGTTGCCTCTTAATTAAACTATTAAGAGGTAAACAAACAACCATTTAGAAATTCATAATTTAATTACGAATAAAACATAGTTTGGTAAAAAAATAATTATTAACCTGGATATCAAATCCGTTATGCGAGTTGACGAATTTCAGGGTGATCACGTGCTTTGTGGGTAGACCGGAGCCACTACATTTGAACCTTCGTGGCCACAAGAAAATTTTTATTCTTCATTGGATTTGAACCTGAGACCTCTAGACATTTTTGACATTTAGAGTTCAAGTTCAAACCAATCAGACACCACTCTTGTCATCCAATTTGGTTAGTTTTAGTGTTAGGGACTATTCATATAAAAATGTAAACCACGGTGATTATCTATACTTTATTATAAAACATTTGACAAAAACTTTTAAAAACTACTTTTTATGTGTAAAATACTGTTTATTAATACATATTACTTAAAACGCAAGATTGCAAGTAGATTGTGCGTAAGTACAACTTATTAAAGCTCAATATTTGAATTCGTGTAACTAACTGCASATAATCATAATCAAATACATGATAAACATCTCATATTAAATATAAAAAATTTAAAATATAATCAAGATAATCATTGAGTTCTAACAGAATACTTAATTATTATCTTTATAAAATGTTCTATTATTAAACCAAAATAAATTATTTCGTTATTAAACTTAAATTAAATTATAATAAAATAAATAAATTAAAAAAATTACATTAAAAAATGAGAACTTTTAAATAGTTGATTTTAATATTAACATTGATATATTGTTTTTCAAATTTTTATGATATCTTCACATGTATATATTTTATTCAACAATAAAATCATTATTGTTTTCTTAAAAACACATAAAATCGTATTATAACATCGACAGAGAYRAATAATAAAATAGAACATTAAAATCGAGATGTGTCTCGCTGCATKGCGCGATTACTCTTCTAGTTATTATAAGTAATGAAGTTTAAGGATTTTATATATAGTTGAATGTAAATGATAGGGACCAAAATTGTAGTTTATTTTATAAGTTATTAAAGATGATTTCAATCCTTCGGTTAACTGTTTATTTGTTATAACTAGAAGGGTATTCGCGTAATGTAGCAAGACATATATCGATCTTAATGTTCCGTTTTATTATTTGTTTTTGTGGATGTTATAATATGGTTTTATGTGGTGTTAAGAAATCGATAATGTTTTTATTTTTGAATAAAATATAAACTTGAAGATGTTAGAATTTGAAAAAAAATATAGAATTATAGTTTTATTGTGTAATTTCTTTAATTCAATTTTATGTTATAATTTAATTTAAATTTAATAACAAAATAATTTATTTTTTGCTTGATAATATAATTTATTTAGAAGGATAATAATCAAGTATTTTATTAGATAATCATTGTATTTTAGATTTTTTACATTTAAAATGAGAAGTTTATCTTGTATTTGATTATGTTTATCTGCAACCAATTACATAATTCAAACATGGAGTTTTAATAAATTGCACTTATGTACATTTTATTTGTAATCTTGAATTTTAAGTAATATGTATCAATAAGCAGTATTTCATATATAAAAATGATTTTTAAGAATTTATGTCAAATGTTTTCTAATATAATACAAATATTTTATAGTGTTTAATATCGTAAAAATAAAAATAAAACTTTCATATCATTATTATGCCTTGATACGTAGGTATTATTAAAATTAACATTCATTGATGTGTGTATATATATATATATATATATAGACATGAGATCATATAAGATCAAGGGTTTTTTGTGAGACCCGTAAAACTAATTCTCAACCCTTGAATTAGATCTACAATCTGAAATTCATAATCATAAGATTGCCATGAGACTTCTCAATAATCACAAAATTACCACTATGCAACTTTAGGCCATTAAATCATTAGCTTATAAAGTTGATCAATGAACATAAATTGGTCTTACGGGTCTCATGAAAAACCCTTGGTTTCACGTGAACCAACCCTATATATATAGTGTTGGAGTCATGTGAGACCAAGGGTTTTTCGTGAAACTCGTAAGACCAATTCTCAACCTTTGGATTAGATCTCCAATATGACAATCTGAACATTCTTAAACGCCGCGAGACTTCTTAATAATCACAAAATTGCCACCGTACAACTTTAGACCATTAGATCATTAGCTTATAAAGTTGATCAACGAACATAAATTAGTCTTACGGGTCTCACGTAAACCCAACCCTATATATAATTTATAGATATATTAAGCATAACTTATATTAAAAAAAATATATGTATACATATTTTTTGTTTCTGTAATTATATTTTATATTAATTATAAAATATAAAAGTATATTATATATAGACATAAATAAATTTTATCAAAGTTATATATATATATATTAAGGGAAAAGTACAATAAAAACCAATGAACTTTCTTGTTTGGAATGATTAAGTCCTTGAACTTTTTTTGGAACAAATAAGTCCTTGAACATTCCAAAACATGTTAAATAAGTCATTGGACAATTTTTTGGAACAAATAAGTCCTTGGACATTCCAAAGTATGTTAAATAAGTCCTTGGACATTCCAAAATATGTTAAATAAGTCCTTGGACATTCCAAAAAATGTTAAATAAGTCATTGGACAATTTTTGTAACAAATAAGTCCTTGAACAATTCAAAACATGTTAAATAACTTCTTGAACTTTTATAAAACATGTTGGATACATTCTTATGACTTATACAACTAGTTAAAGTGGTAAAATAGTGAAGAAAAAAATCCGGAAAAAAACCCAATGAACATTCATATTTTG